GGCCTAGGGCCTGCTGGAGAAGAGCCGCCTGGGCCCAGAAAGCTGTGGCCTTGGGGATATGGAGTGTTTCCATCTGAGGCTACAGGTGGTTGTGACTGCGGGTGGCAGGAAGCTCTGTAAGAGGGTTCCATTTCCAAGGGATCCTTTGGTGTGCATGGGAGTAGCAGTAGGCCCATAAACCTCTGCGGGCACTGCAGGTGTGTCCCAGGATTCCTCCTCTTCTTGCCGCAGATCCAGTCTCCAGGCCCCAGGCTGGGAGCAGCATCCACCTAGGGCGGAGACAGGCACTGGTCCTTTCTAGCTGCTTCCCAGCCTGCCCACTGGTCTGATACCCTTGTCAGCCGCGGGGGTCTGGCAGAGCTGACCTACCCCCCTGAGATGATAGGGCCTCCCAGCTTTGTCTCGCCCCCTTCCCTGTCCCCAGTGGGGAAGATTTCTGAAAATTTGTAAATGAAATTCTCTTCCTGGGAATCTGATTACATTCCCCTGTACCAGGAGCCTCATAGAAGTACAGTCCCGTGCCATGTCAAATCTTCCAGTAGCTGCGTCTTAGAACAATTTAGAAACAAGTGGAATGTTCCTATTTTACTTGAGCCAACCAAACCAAAATGTCATTTCAACGGGTAGTCAATAGAAGATTATTAAGGAGATATCTAATCATATCCCTCCCCACCCCACCACCCCACCCCCCTTTTCTAAATCAGTCTGAAACCTGGTGTGTTTTACACTCGCAGCCTTGCATCTCCAGTCAGACAAGCCACAGTCCAAGATCGCCCTGTGTGGCTCATGCTTATTGAGTTAGATAGTGCAGATCTAATGGAAGCTAAATGGCCGTTTGTAAATGAGATTCACAGACTTATGCGAGCACACATTTGAACTTTTGCATATTGGATTTTTTAAAAGGGGGCACCTTTCTTTTGAGGGGTTTTGTCTTTACATTTGGAACTGTTTGGGAGGATATGCTGTCTAAACACACTTCAGTTGTTTGTATAGTGGGTGGTTTCAGTTAGTTTAACTAGCAGGAGATGGGGTGTGTGTGTGTGTGTGTAGATGAATGTGTATCTGTAGTTGGACTGGAAGTATGGGTGGTTAGAATTCAGTGTGTGTGTAGATGAATGTGTATATGTAGTTGGACTGGAAGTATGGGTGGTTAGAATTCAGTGTGTGTGTGTGTGTGTGTGTGTGTGTGTGTAGATGAATGTGTATCTGTAGTTGGACTGGAAGTATGGGTGGTTAGAATTCAGTTTCTTAAGCCAGGGAAGGAGGAGGGCAGAGCACGAGGGAACACTTTAGGCATCATAGGGAGGGGGAATGGGAGGGGGATGTTTGAGAAAAACTGATCTCAGTAGCTAGCGGATCAGGCAGTGGGAGGAGGCTGGTTGGTTTCCTCAGCAACAAGCCTGACAATCCTGATTGGCTGCTGGCTGCCATGGAAACAGCAGAGCATCCGCAGCAGGTGCCTCTACCAGGTAGCTTGAGCCTGCCTGGCCTGATGCCTGATCATAGACGGAATCACACCTTGTTCACCGGTACCCTCTTTGCCCAAGAACACAGCCTCTTGTCAGTGAGTGAGTTTCGTGGCTGCCAACAGAAGGCAGTGCTAACCCAAGATTCTAACCTCATGCCCAGCCCCAATCTCTGTGAGCAATGCAGCCTCAGGACAGGGCTGGTCAGAGAGAGTCTGAAAAGCCTAGGTCAGAACAGGGGTTCTGAGGTCTCTGCTAGGCTTCAAGCTTCTTGATCCGCCAGCTTTGAAGGGAATTGGCTAACGATGTCTTCCCAAGAGGGGGCCCCTAAGGCTTCCTTGGACCTCACCCCTCTCTCACATCCCCAATACCCAGACCTGCATTCCCAGGCCAGACCAGACAGGCTGGGACCACAGGGAGCTAAGGACCTTAGTCCACTCAAGCAAGTAGACTGATGGCCTCTGTCAGTGCTGCTTTGTGAGCCACCTGCAGTCAGCGTGACCATGAGTTTGATGATAACAAGGCATCTGCAGTGAGGAACCAGAGGGTCAAAGGGGACATCTGGCAGCAGTGGGAGGAGCATTAACAGTGCTTCCAACTTACCCATGTCCCAGTAGCAGGGCAGGATAGGATGGGAATTGGGGAGGGCCTCCAGGGCTGAGAAAGCATGCATCTTAGCTGGGGGGGGAGGGGGGACATGGTAATAGCAACAAGCAGGGACCTGTCCTTTCTCCAGTTTGGAAAGAGGTGAGGTTGGGGCTGTCCAGGACAGTGACCTGGTGGGTCTGGGGAGAGAAGAGCGTGATAACAGAAGAGATCAGAGAAAGCAAGGTGTACAATTCTCCTGTCGGGAAATCAGCCCTGGAAGAGATAGGGCTGAATGCTAAGAGTGGACAGCAGTGATAGGAGAAAGGAGCAGAGGCTTCCAACAGCAGGGAAGAGTGGCCCAGAACAAGAGGTGCAAAGGAGGGGCACCATGGCTAGGAGTGCAGGACCACGAGATCCAGAAAACACCCTGGCCCACCGAGAAGTGTGCGTCCAAAGAGGAGTGAGTGGACAAGGGGGGGCGTGGCAACAAGGAAGACAGCAGGCCTAGCTTGGACGCAGTAGGCAGCTGTAGCTGCCGAGAAATGTGCCCAATGTCGCGGGACCAGGAGTGAAGGAATAGAGCTGAGGGCAGCCGTTTGGGGAAAAGGGGAGGTGTTACTACAGACCTGGATGACAGAGGGGTGTGAGAGAAGCCAGAGGGTGTGATGGCATGAGGCTCAGCCCAGAGCCTGGCGGGAAACTGAAGGGAGGCTGGGCCCTGTGGGCTGTGGGGCAGGGTCAGGACTTCTGAGGGGAGCTGGGACCACAGGAGGTGTGCCTTGGGACAGGGGGCTAGAGCACTCAAGCCCGGGAAGGCCTACATCCCCGTCCCTCGGACCCACAGGGCAGCAGACGCCCTCCTAAAGGCAGTGGCCGCCAGCAGCATCGCTGAGAAGGCCGTGGAGGCAGCTCGAATGGCCAAACTGATCGCCCAGGACCTGCAGCCCGTGTTGGAAGTCCCAGGTGAGGTGTGGACCGCCTGGAGGTGGGAGCCCATGAGCCCACACACACATGCGGAGGAGGTGGGCAGGCTCAGGCACTGAGGGAGGGGTTGGAGGTTGGGGGGAGGCGCAAAATCTGAGGAACGCGGACCATGGAGACAAGGGCTAGGCCCAGGAGCATGGGAAGTTTGGGGAGTGGGACAGAGCATCTGTGAGAAAAGGTTGGTTTTAAGGATGGGGGCGGGGCCCTGGGGCTGCCAGTGAGGATTCCAAAGGCCCTGGGAGGGACCCGGGTCAAGGGGATAAAACTGTAACCTTGCCCAGCCAAGGCCCGTCAGGGCCCTCTGATTCTGAGCCGTCCCTGCCCCAGGCCGCAGACCCAGGCAGGATTCAGAAGGCTCCGACACAGAACCCTTGGATGAGGACAGCCCTGGGGTATACGAGAATGGACTAACCCCTTCAGAGGACTCCCCTGAACTGCCCAGCAGTCCTGCCTCCATCCGCCAGCCCTGGAGGCCCCCTGCCTGCCGGAACCCACTGCCTCCTGGAGGGGATAGGGGCCCCTTCTCCAGCCCCAGAGCTTGGCCTGAGGAGTGGGGGGGCCCTGGTGAGCAGGCCGAAGAACTAGCCGGCTATGAGGCTGAGGATGAGGCCGGGATGCAGGGGCCGGGGCGGAGAGACGGTGCCCCGCTCCTCAGAGGTGGCAGCCACTGTTCAGAAAGTCTTCAAGAGGAGGAAGGGGAAGATGAAGAGCCCTTGGCCCAACCCAGGGCCCCAGGAGGCCCTGGGCCTGGGCCCATGACCACTGCAGCCCTGCGGGCCACGTCCTCCAGGGGTCCCGAGGCCGGGCGCCCCACAGAAGAGCTCGAGGATCCTACTGCAACTGAGAGGCCCGCCCAGCCGGTGAGATACCCTCTGCCCTCGCTCTGGGCCAGAGCCCCTCACACCCTTTCCAGACCTGTCTGACCCTCACCCTGACCCCGGGCTCTGACTGAGACTCAGCTCCCTCCCTGCCTGCCTGATCATGGACCCTCTATCACCTCGGGCACAGAGAGCTAAACAGAGCACCTTTGAAGCTGGCAGGAACCCTAGATCCCTCCAGGTCCATCCCCTCAGTTGACAGCTGGGGGGACTGAGGCCGTAGCAATGAGAGCAGCTTGCCCAGGATGACAGACCAGGGTGGAGCCAGAACACCTTGCCCCCTTTCCGCGGCTCCTTCCCTGCCATTTCCAGTCCCCAGTTCCCTCCTCCACTCCCACTCCTCCTCCGCATTCTCTCTCTTTAGTGCCCAGAAATTTAAGGGGAAAAAAAAGATTGTTCCCTCCCTCCCTCCCAACACTGCTCCCCCCTCTCCTGGGAAGAAGAGAAACCAGGAAAGAAGGCAGAAACCCAAGAGGGGCGGGGTTTCCGCAGAACCCTCCACTCTGATTGGACTCTGGGTCGTCTCCTGTTTCCTAGCAACCACATCCTCACCCCTTCATCCCTCTGCCTTACTGCAGTAACAGCTGCTGCTGCCAAAGTCTGCTACTAGGGCCAGGCAGCTCCTGCTTGAGCCATTGTGACATGGTGGCTGGCGGGATGGGGAGAGGAGAGAGGGAGACAAGAAAGGAGAGCTGTCCCTACATTGTCGGTGCCAGAGGGAAGGTGGGCCCCAGCTGGGAGAAGAGGGGTGTTCCGTGACCCAAAACAAAGGGTTGAGGGACCTCCTCCTGCTGGGGGGGACAGAGAGGGGCTGTGGTTGCTCTCCAGGCAGGAAGGGGGACCTCAGGCCGGGTCTGGTCCTCAGACACTGAGCCTGTCTTCCTCATCTCTCTAGGGAACTGCCAACCTCCTGGTGGTGGGGGCCGTGGCCCTCCTGGACCTCAGCCTGGCATTCCTGTTCTCCCAGCTCCTTACCTGAGGCCACGGCCTGGCCCATGGCTGGCCTTGGTTGCTGCCTCTTCGCCCTGGACCTGCCTTTTCCTCTTCCTGGTTTGTTGTTGTTGTTGTTTTGTTTTTCTCTCTGTGACACCCTTTGTTTCTGTCTCTCTCGCAGCTTTCCCTCTGTCCTCCTCTCAGATGCCTCCTTTATCCGGGATCTGTCCACTGTCCTGTCTTCTCTCCCCGCTCCCTCCCCCACCGCACCCCCTCCTCTTTCTCTAGATTGTTTACATATGAAGGGCTTTTCTCTCAGAGTTGCTTTCTTCTCTGAGATACACAAACCAAGTCAGACCATTGCCCCATGCCCCCCCACACACACCTTTTCTTTAGACCTCAACGTCACTAAGGGTGGGGGTGGGGATGACTTGAGCAGGGCCCCCCCGGGCGCTGACTGGAAAGGAAACAGAAAGTCGAGGATGCTGGGCAAGCCACTGGCTGGGGCTGCTGTCATGCCCTGACCTGAGAGGCCAGGCGTCCCTCTGAGGCCGGGTGAACACAGGAGCAGGTCGGCCTCCTCCGCCTGCCTCTTGCCCTGGAGGAGATGATCCACCTCCAAGCACTAACCTGGGTGGTGGCCTACCTCTGTCCTTCCCTGAGGGAGACAGGGGAGATGAAACGCTGAAGACTCCCTAACAACCCCCTCGTTTCCCCCCAACACCC